CCTAAGGGCTTCTTTGGATATTCATCCTCTTTACCTAAAGAGAAAGAGAAAGGCTGAGTATACGAGGAAACCGAACCCACTATTCATGATGGCATGCTTTCCACCTATGTGCAGTTACACACTGACATCCGTTTATACCACAGAGAGCTGGTAGCTGATGAGAGGTGTTTTTAGAGACTGATACTAAAACATACCAACAGTCACAATCCTACAAGGCTAAGTGTGGGTGGGAGTCTTTTGTAACCTTATGCATAGGTTCCATACGATTGTATAACATGATTCTTAAATTTTGTTGACAAGTTGTTAATGCTTCTTCAAGCCTGCAAAGCTGATATTCTCATTTCTACTCCTAACACGCAGGCCAGTAGTTCAGTGTCTCAACACTGTATTACTTTCACTTTAACCTTCCTCAACTAACTTCTATCAACTCCAAGCAGGTCTGCAAAATCTAAAACTCAACTGATGACCATCTGTGGTGTCAACGTTGTCCCCACATAGATTATTATTATTAAATACCTCCCACAGTACAATTTCCTGATCAAAAGAAAAAATACTATCTGAAAGCTAACATTCTAAAAGCTGACTTTATTTTTTGCATTTTGCTTTAAATGTAAAAGAAAAAAAAAGGAATTTTAAAAAGTCATGTTGGATACCATCAGTTTTATATTTTAAATAATTAGCAGAAAATTCATGAGGAATTAAAGTATAAGAGAGTAGCCATTTAGCACACAGTGTTTAAAAAGTTTTCTTTTACAATATGTATATCCAATAAACAGCAGCTTGAAGAAACAACAGACTTCACTTAAAATTCCATGTTAACCTGTTTCTACAAAACCTGTATTGTCATTTAAAAATGCATTTTTGCTCTTTTCAAATACCCGCTCATCCACCCATCTAGAAATCTTCACTGAGTAAGCCTGTGGCAGGCCCAGCACTGAGTGGCAGGCACCTCAGTGGTGAGCATAAGGTGGGGTCTTTTTTTTTCCAAGTAGCTTACAGTCTTGATGATGATCATTTTGACACTTAAAGACATTATTAAGTGATCTTTTTGGGGAGAGAGGAGGGAACAGAGAATTATGAAGAAACAATATCCTTTAAATACTTAAGCTATCAGAATCACTGAGCTAAAACAACCTTTGTGCTCTTCTGATTCAGTAGTTTTTAAACTTTTAAAAGCAGACTCGTTTTTTCAAACCAAATTTCATATGAAACTCCAATATATAAAAGAAAATATACACAAAGCTGCTCTAGTTAGAGTTGGAGGGTGGGTGGGTCCAGGGCTCCTCCCAACGAAAATTCAGTATTTTCATTCTGAGTTCACTCTTCTCTTCCCCTGTGCCATTTTCATGAAGTCCCAGAGAAATTTTTGATGGTTTCAATGGAACCTTAACAATGTTTACGCAAGCTCTTATTTTATACATATGAAAGCATAAAAAGTGTGAGAATTGGCAATTACACTTTGTTTCAACTCATTCATCTATTCAGCAAACATCTAAAGCAACTACTATGCACCAGACCCTGTTCTGGTTGCCAGCAATACAGGAATGGAATGAGGAAGGTGACGTCCCTGTCCTTCTGGAGCCTATAGTCTGTTATACAAAGTGCCATGAAGAAAATTAAACTCGGAAGAAGGAATTAAAATGATTGGGAGCTAGGCAGGGCAGAGAAGGAAAGAGTCCCAGCAAGGAGGCAGCCCTCTGAGCTTGGGCCTTGAGGTGGGGACAGGCAGACACACACAGGGCCTTGAAGACTGTGGCAAGGAACTGGGATTTTATTCCAAGTTAACTGTGAAATACTAGAGGCTTTTCAGCAGAAGAATTACACGACCTGATGTCTATCTTAGAAAGATCGCTTTAATGGTGGGTGGGATTTAGACTGTGGTAATACTGAATGATGATGACACTAATGGCTCATACTCACCAGGCACTCATTGTGTGTCGGCCACTGCTCAGAAAGCTGTACCTGTAAGGCCTACAATAGGCAAATAGTGCAGGTCTCTAGTATTTTCCCATATTTTGATGGGAAAATAGAGGCAGAAATTAAGCTGCCCAAAGGGTCACAGCTAGCAAGTTACAGATCCAGAATTCAAACCCCAAGCTGCTTCAGAGCCACCTTTGCTCTTCCTCCTACACTATGCCACCGTGGAAGCAGTGAGAAGAAGTTGCTTCTTGGATAATTTTTAAGACAGTGTTCACACAACTGCTCAATGGGCTAGATTCGGGGAGCAAGCAGCACACAATATGACTCCTGGCCTAAGATAGCCACAGGCAGATCCTACTCTGGAACAGCTGGCAGAAACCATGTTGTTCCTATACCTTTTGGACCTTGGACCAATTATTTTAACTGACAGCCCAATCTTTAAAATGTTTGTAATTACAAGCTTCCATTCACAATTGCCACAAAGAGAATAAAATACCTAGGAATACAACTAACAAGGAATGTAAAGGACCTCTTCAAGGAGAACTACAAGCCACTGCTCAACGAAATAAGAGAGG